TTGCTGCGGCTACATTGCAGCGTTTTCTGTGACTTGGAAATCGAGTTTTGTGGTGCAAAAGCGCGACAACCCTATGGTGAGGTTGGAGTCTGATTGTCAATATCAGCGATTACGCGGAGTTTACGAAAACGCTCTTTACCTCATCTATTCAGAAGGATCAGTAGACTCCATGATTATCATTCGAAATGAACAAAAGCTTGAAAACTCCTCAAACCAGCTGTTTGTTGACGCAGTTTGACTTCTGATGCCTTTGGAAACGAAAAATGCAAGGATCATCTTTCCTTGAGTAGCATGACAGGTCCTAGGTGCTGCAGAAGTTTCATATTCTGGGATGTAACTTTACAAAAAATTTGGGAGTCAAGGAATGCGATAATGTTTAAAAGGGCCAGGTGTCCTTATAATTATGTTCAGCTTGCAAAACAGGCTTTTTCGAATTTTTCCATTTTTCTCCGTTCGAAATCAACGGGATTGGAAGCCGTTCTGAGGATTCATGGTAGGCTTGCATGCGCACCATACGGCATAGTTTCAGACGGATTCACTGACAGGAACGAAAATTACGACGATTTCTAGAGTGTCTCTATAATTATGTGCACTGTATATTGAAACAATATTTCGAGAAGCAACGAACGAACTGTCCCCAATTAGTCAACCTACTTTTGTTGTATGCGCAACATGTATACTTCAAGAAAAAGTTGAGAAATGAACAGATTATTGTGGCAATGTATCTGCAGGGACAATATGACAGCAGAGAATCGTAGGGCAGTGTTCACCATAGGGCAGTTCTTTTTCGTACCATTGGTCATGGGAGGGGGAGGGGGGGGGGTGGAGAAGGTTTAGGACAGTTCTTTCTCAAGACATCGATCTGCAATCGGTCTATAAGGCGCTTCCTTTGTATTAGGTCGGTGCAAAAGTTTTGTCAGTTTTTTCAATCCATCAACAAACACGTTAGAATGGAGATAAACAAACACTTCAAAATGTATCCGATGCAGAATTTTATTCTCTTTCCAGAAGTTAATCCCCATTTGCTTCATTGGGAGAGGGACGAGATATTTGCTGGAAATTACAACACTCGCTTTTACCATGCCCAAATTTCGCTAATTTTCAAAATTTCTGTATGAGACTTTCGGAAGAGCCTTAATACCCAGTATATAGGGCAAACCTTTTGCCAATAGAAGCAGTTTTTTGCAGTCCTGCGGCTTGTCTTTCAGAATTTCTACGATTTATTTTTTGAAGTGACCAAAATTTACATTCAGCCTATTTTAACCTCGTAGAACATAAAATGTTAAACACTTCAGTCACCATTCGATGTAACTTTTCCTCCTCCTTTCAACACTTGTCTTTTTTTTTGCCAAGACAGGCAAAATTTGCAAGGAAAATCGCAGTATTTCTCAATTTCAGGAGTGCGCAATGACGTACCCTATGTTTCAGAATCTTCATAACTTGAAGCGAAAACCGCTCATTTACTTTGTAATAGTAGAGGTAGTAATAATCGTGAAATCTCAGTTTTGTGTAGGTTTTGCAGTGTTTAGTGCAATAACAGTGCAGGTTATGCGATTTTTCCAAAACGCAAGACTTTTAGAAAATTATTTAGCAAAAATTTGAAAAAGCAGCTGAAAAAAAGAAAAAAATTGCATAAGTTGGCAAAAGGTTTGCCCTATCTCCTGGTTATTAGGGCTTCTCCGAAAATCTCATACAAAAATTTTGAAAATTAGCGAGATTTGGACATGGTAAAAACGAGTGGTTGCAATTTCCAGCAAATATCACGCCCCTCTCCCAACATAACGCAATGAGAGTTTAGCAGCTGAAAAGAGGAAGAGATTCTGCATTGGATACATTTTGAAGCGTTTGTTCATCTTCATTCTAGCGTGTTTGCCGATAAATTGAAAAAAACGACAGTTTATTACCTAATCTTATATATAAAGCTGAATGTCTGTTTGTATGTATGTCTGTCTGTCTGTCTGTCTGTGTGTACGTATGTTCCGAATAGAAAATTCCATTTCTGAACCGATCCGGACCAAACTTGGCACACATACACTTCGGGCCCCGGCGGGTGTCATAGGCTACTTTTCGTCATCCATATATCGATTTTATCGATTTTTATCGATTTTTTTGCTGAGTTCACCTACGGGGCTGGGAGTTGGCACAGGGGGGGAAGTGAGCATGGGGATTCCGAATACAATATTGGTTTTCAGGATTATCGATTACTCTTATCGATTTTATCGATTTTTTTGCAAAGTTTGAGCTACGGGGCTGGGAGTTGGCACAGGGGGGTAATCGAGCATGGGGATTCCGAATACAATATTGGTTTTCAGGATTATCGATTACTTTTATCGATTTTATCGATTTTTTTGCAAAGTTTGAGCTACGGGGCTGGGAGTTCGCACAGGGGGGTAATCGATCATGGGGATTCCGAAGACAATATTGGTTTTCGGGATTATCGATTTCTTTTATTGATTTTATCGATTTTTTTGCAAAGTTTGAGCTAGGGGGCTGGGAGTTGGCACGGGGGGGGGGGGGTAATCGAGCATGCTGATCATCCCCAAGGGGGGTGATCAGCATGCTCGATTACACCCCTGTGCCAAATTCCAGCCCCCTAGCTCAAATTTTCAAAAAATCGATAAAGTCGGTAAAAGTAATGGACGATCTTGAAAACTAATATTGTATTCGTAATCTGCATGCTCGATTACCCCCTGTGCAAACTCCCAGCCCCGCAGGTCAAACTTTACAAAAAAATCGATAAAATCGATAAAAGTAATGGACGATCCTGAAAACTAATATTGTGTTCGTAATCAGCATGCTCGATTACCCCCCTGTGCAAAATCCCAGCCTCGCATGTCAAAATTTACAAAAAATCGATAAAATCAATAAAAGTAATCGATAATTCTGAAAACTAATATTGTATTCGGAATCCCCATGCTCACTTCCCCCCCTGTGCCAACTCCTAGCCCTGTAGGTGAACTCTGCAAAAAAATCGATAAAAATCGGTAAAATCGACATCGATCGATAACGAAAAGTGGACTGTGACACCCGCCGGGGCCCGAAGTGTATGTGTGCCAAGTTTGGTCCGAATACGGCGGAGCCGGGTAAGCCAGCTAGTATTATATAATTGGCGGTCCGTAAGCGGCCCGTAAGGCGGTTCTTCCTCAGATATGGGTTTGAAAGGAGGCCTGAAAAGACATTGGTTCCTTATAAGGCTATTCTTAATCATGAACATCGGTCTCGGGGGGCTCGAGCAATTATTTCTTAAATCGGTTTGTGGGCTACCCACACGGCATGTTCTTCCCATAATTATCGGCCTATAGGGCCTATGCTCTCTTCAGTAGGGCAGTTCTGATGTATATGGTTCTGCAGGGGGTTTGTGGAGCCGTTCTTTACAAAAAAAGGTCTGTAAGCACGCAGGACTCTTGTTACTACAACTTTCTAAGAAGGCATTTTTTGAGCACCTGAATCTTTTGTATCATCGCCCTTCAGAGGTTCGACTGCTTTCGTGACTTCCAACTGAAATTGTTAGGAAATTTGCCTGTAGAAGATGAGTAGAAGAGAGTCAGAAGCTACTGATTGATTATTTTCGTGTGTGATAAGATGGCGAAATCCTGTCATGGTTTTTTTCTTATATTGGAAAGAAGGATCTTGTTTTCATTATGTGATTTTTATCTACTTCATAAAACCCCAGCTTGAACTCATAATTCACCTTATAAAAGGCATGAGAGGAAGTGTTATTTCATGAGTTCCTGTGAAGAGGGGATTTCGAGGAAACCGTAGTACTCGGAATTTTATCAACTTTTTGTATTCAAAACCTCGTATGCTTGTGATAAAAGTTTTAAGAATTATTGAATGAATTCTAAAATTTTCCGCTTCTGCGGGACTCCTCACAAGAGTGTGTTTTCACAAGTAGCTCTCAGAAAAGGAATGAAATGTTGAGAGATCTAATAAAATCTAATAAAGTGATTATGTGATATTAAACCTTCAGAAGTATCGTAAATTTTCAGCTTCACGCAAGTGCTAGTTTTCAAGATTATATCAAACTTAGCTTTCTTCACTCGGGTATTCCATGCCACAATCAACATCTTTCGGAAACTAGGGCTTGTGAAAAGCTGAAAACTTGCGACCATACTTCCGAAGACCTGTAGTAAACAATTACCTGCGTGAAACATAGCTTCGTCTTTGCATAGGTACAAAAATTTTGATTTTCTCGATTAATAGTTGATTAAAAAAAACGGCAACGACATATATGAACGTCTGATATGAAGTGTTACCTTAGTGAACAGTGGGAGATCCATAGGATGTTTCTGAACAAAAATATTTTTAAGAAATTTCAATTTTTTGAGCATCGAGCGCGATTCGGATTTCGGTTTTAAACATGCGGCGGACCGAAGCTAAGGGGAACCTGCACATACCACCTTGTAGAGCTTGCTTTCTCTACGAATTGTACCCTGGGGACCTATTGAAATTATGAAGCGTAGGAATCATCGCAGTAAGTAGCGAGAGTGTAACAAGATTTATGTAACAACCTAATAGTACCATGGAGACGAAATTAAGAGACGAAGCATGAAGAAGAGGTCCAAAAACGAGCAATTGCAATTATGCAGATTTCCATCAGGCAAGAAATTTCCAGCTGATCACTCACCTTCGAGTGAGCTCTATTTTTCCAGCAAACATTCATGAAGAAAGCTTCTGCTAACGGGTGTAGGCCCTTCTGAACCCGCTCCAATCGCGACGGTGGTAATAGGTTGGACCACCCACTGAGGTCGCACTGCGATTGGCTGCAGCTTTCGCGCGAGCGGTTGGCGCGCTGCGTTTCCGTACGAGCTTCTCGATGGAGCGTGTGGCGTGTTTTCAAACAATACGCCACAAGGTGTACCCTGAAGCGACGTAAGGCAAAAAAAAACGCGTCTTGCATGCCTGCTACCCTCCTTATCACGTCTTTTTTCATTTTCATTGATGTTTATATGGCAACATTTTGTTCCAAAATGAACTGAACTCGTGTGATACCTTTTTCAGGTCAGTTGCTCTTACTTTCCAAAATCGGAGCATGTCGGCATCGAGACAAGTGCTCGCACTCATAATATTCCAACATTTTCTCAATAAGTGTTTTTGAAGAATCTCCATCATACCTGTTATCGATATGCGCCAAGCTGATGCTTGCACAAAAGTAAGAGTTCCCTCTTGTTTCTCCATTTATATACAAGGTGAATTGAAGTTGCGAATTTTTCAGGTCAGCATTATGAACAAGGATGAACAACAATATTTTGATGAGATTTTCGAGGAGATTTTTCACCGAAAATTAATACGGGAAGTTGCGAGATGGAGGTGACTATTTAATTCTATTTTCAATCCTCTTGCGATGATGGAGGCAAGTGTGTTGTGCGTTATTTTTAGAACGTATTTATAACCACTGGCTCTAGACCGCGTTGAAATCATGTCCTACTTTACTTAATATCAGCAACACTTACTGTGGGACCCTATTTTCAAAGATTTCCTGCCATGAAATGTGCCATATAGAGCGATTTTTCGTTACACAATATTTATTTCGTCAGAATGCAGCTGTATTTGCTCTGTCTGTTCCATCATGTAAGCGAGAGGATGATAAGTCACCATTTCAAGTTTCATCGATGATCAAGCAGCATCAAACGTTTTGCGTCTTTTGCATTAATTCATAAATGAATGAAAAGAAGAACATTGTCAGACATTCGGTGACCTCAATTGTGTTCATTTTGTTTCCGTCACATTTTAGACAAAACAGATGCGATAACATCGCCGAACATATGATTGGGAATGTTTACGTCAAATTTGACAGGGAGGCGAATGCAGAAAGTGTAGAGGACCTAGACAGATGGTATGATCAGTCGTTTTTTGTTGTGTGATTTTGATTCTATAATATTATATCGTATGTGATCTTCGGCGTTGACTTTCTTTCCAGGTTCCACGGTGCGATATATGCAGAACTTTCTCCAGTAACAGGATTTCGTGAATTATGCTGTCGTCAGTATGAACTTGGAGGTTGTAATAAGGTGAGTATGTCTGTTATGACTTTTAATACTATCTCACTGTGTTTAGCGCTGCTCTTTCACTATATATTTGAAATTCTTACCAACGTTAACACTGTTCCTGCATCGTCATATCGCGTATGCTTTTACATTTGGTGCCTATTCGGTATTGGCTATTTCTTGATGTATTACATAATCATGCTATACTTGATTTGAATCATCTGTGCATACCGCAAGAAGTCAGCGTAAAATTTTGTGGTCGCAATAAAGAAAGCGCGAAATCAATCTGACTCACCATATGGAAGTGTTTTCCATGTTCAAGAATTCTTTTCGATGTTGAAGAATGACATGCTTCAACTGTGTCACCCTTCTTGTGAACGTTATGCTCATTTGTCATCAGTTGCTTTCCAGAAAGGATTGAAGAATGTCTTTGACGAAGCAATCATGGCTGCCTTGGAGCCTCCACCGATGGAAAAGAAGAAGAAATGCACACTACTGTGAGAGTACAGCGAACCCGAAAGAGCGAGGCAGTTATTATATAATCTGCGTCAATAATGTGCTTGCTTCCGCGTGATTTGTCTTCGCCATTGTCGATCCACACACAACTCATTCACTCATACACTATATACCTTGCGAATAGCTCGAACGGGCCCTATAACTCCTCTAAGGGATCGTTCATACCGCGCACAAAGGCGGACGAAGGCGGACGAAACCGGACAAAGGCGGACGAAGGCGGACGAAGCCGCACAAAGGCGGACGAAGGCATGTGTGAGTGTGTGTGTGTCGAGAGAAACGAGACGAGGCGTGTGTGAGTGTGTGTATGTGTGTCGAGAGAAACGAGACAGACAAGGCGCGCCTTCGTCCGCCTTTGTCCGGCTTTGTCCGGCTTCGTCCGCCTTTGTGCGCGGTATGAACGATCCCTAAATTGCGTGCACACTCTGGCGCGTCTCCGATTGATTAATACGATCAGAATAATCGTCGTACTAGGCACAAAGTTGCTTAGCTCGGAAAGATCATATTGTATGTCCATCTATTAATGTGTTTGACTGCCTTTGATTATGAACGGTTTTTAAAGAGAGCCTGTTTGTCAACGGTTGTCTTGAACGTACGAAAACTCTTCACTGCAAGTTTAACAATTTTGTCAAAGCACTGTTATACTATAAATATTGACTGTATAGTTGTTACAATTCGAATTCATATGCAGATTTGCAAAATTATGACTTAGAACATCTAGATTATGACTAGAATAGAACGCTAACAGGCTATCAGATTACAATGAGCATGGAATACTTGGCACCGATTTCGTAGGAAAATTCGTGGAATGGGCGATGTATACTGATTAGCATGGGCTGCCAAAAAATTATGAGGATCACATCACGTAAGTAGGAAAGTGGACAAGTCATGGTAGAATAGCTCGTACCGATTTTGGTGTTGAAACCTGGGTAAAGTGTTTCGAGGTGTATCGGATAGCATTCAACAGAGCATCTGTCTGAAAGAAATTTGGTTAACCGAATATTGATTGTTTAAAACATTCAGATTTTCTTGATATAGATGTGAATCGGGTCGTAGTAAGTAGTAGTTGAATGACTAGAGCCTTGAGCAAATCTTTTTTATTTTGAAAAGTGAGAAACTGATAACTGACTATAGTCGCAAAAGTGTCAGTAGTATTTCCGATAGGAAGCGTAGGATGTGAACGGACAAACTCGAGTGTGGCAGAGCTTAAACTCGATAGCATCGGTGTAGGATTGGCAAGAAACAGAGAGATCGAATTAGCCAGTTCAATATCGCTTCAAATGATGTAGGTACTCGGCATAATACAAGGAACGAAACGCGACTTACGATGGACTGGTTCCAAGCTAACCTAGACCGATCGCTCGTCGATAACGACTAAAATCATTCTGCAGGGCAGGTGTGCACATCTAAAACATATTTGACGTTGATTATGTTCAAGAAAAGCTCTGCTGTAAATTAGAACTAACCTTGGCAGCGTCGAAATCCAATACAAAGTCGACGAGCCGCGCTTGTCGTGCAAGTGACTGTTTTCGATCAAGCTGTTCTTCTGGGGGGAGGGGTCCGGAACAGAGGTCCCATATTAGCTCTGGCACAAGCTGAAAGAACAGAACTTTGGATAAATGTGCAGGAGTGAAAGTAAAGATTGAAAAAGAAAAACGCATTTGCACAGAAGTAGGCGTTTTGCTAAATTTCAATGCTTACAGTCTTGCAGTTTATTATAGGGAGGTGCAAATACACAAATCGACCATTGAGCAAAAAAAAATTTCATGCGTAGCCATTAAAGATCATATTTGTAAGACAACAGAGGTGCAAAAAAGGTTGCGCGACAAAGAATGCTTGAAACATATCTGCTAAAGACAAGGAAGGTAAAATAGGATAGAATTTCTGAATGGCCGAAAAAAAAACAAGACGATGAAGAGCCGAAAGGGTTGGGCAGAATGGCACTGTCACACAAAAATCACAATCCACAACAGGAAATTTCCGTACAACAACAAATTGACAGCATTTTCGTGTGCTTATCAGTGAGAAGGGCTGCATTTGATGACTTGAGATTTAAGTAGATGAAAATGAAGCTTGCGAGCAGTGAATAAGAAGTTTAAACACACCTGCACATGCTTTCCTGATGTTGCATATCCTTGTCAACATGCCGACAGCTTGATTCAAAATTACTGGCTGCATTCCATTTCGAAAGCCAACTTGAACGAGGGATAACAAGTCCTCAAGTTGGCTTCATTTTAGCCTAAATTTACAGATGTTTGCAAAAACAGACTGTGATAGTCAAAGGAACACAGTAACAGAGTTATGGCGAGGGAAGGAGAAGATGTCGAAACGGCGTTATTGATTGCACGGAGAAGAGAGACGAACTCTCGTCCACAGGGAACGCAGCGCGCCCGCCCGCGTCCTGCGTTTTGAATTACGGTAGCGCGGGCTCGGTTCAGAAGGGCCGTCTCCCCATCTACGAATATCATTTCTCCACATTACAATTTTCTGAACACGAGTTTTGTTAAATTTGCTTCGTCATGCGACAATCCAGTACAAGTCGGTCCACCTGTTCATTAAACATGTGTAGGCCAAAGTAGACGCGAGACTCTTCTTCAACCACTCGTATTTCAGCAGTTTATCATTTAGCTTATTGATCTTCACAAATCTCCTTTCGCGAATCAGCGCCAAGGCGAATCTGATGATATGCAGCTTGTTCGGAACGGCTAGGTTGAGTTTCGACAATTTTCTACTTAGGGCCGCATGCATATGACATCTTCGCTGGGGAGGATCGCAGCTTAATAAGGAAGCCTCATATCCTGAAGCTCTAAATATCTGTATACTATCCGTAAATAATCCTATCTTCCTTCACTATGAACATATTGAACAGGAGCCAGAAGCTGTACAAGCCGCATTTTCCAGCTTTTTGTATGATCGCTTAGTGATCCCCAGTTTCCATCTTTTCTTTAAAGTCATTTTTCTTTCTTCGAAGTTAACGAAAACATCCCAGAGTTGTACTAAACATCTAACACAACAGTGTCAGACATGGTGCTGATAAAAACAGATGAGTTTTCAAAGAATCGAAGTTTTCGGTAAACCCCAATATTCGATTTGTGGTTCATCGCAAATTTCATGGACTCCTATACGTCAATTCTTCTTATCAGCAACATGCTTAGCACTATTGGCTAGATAAACAGTACAACTTTGGGATGTTCTCGCTAACTTTAAAGAAAGGAAAATGACTTTGAAGATAAGACGGTAGGCCGCCAGGGGGATCATCAAGGGATCATACAAAAAGCTGGATAATGCAAGTAACAATCATCATCTCGCATATTTCAACACACTTGGGACGCGCTTGCGTATTTTAACACATCTAGTGCAGCAGCAAAGCGCACGGTGCCTGTCGTGATCTTCCGTTTAGGCGCTGGCGCTTTTCTGAGCCTGACGTCTATTCAAAACGAACGTTCTTGCCATACATCTGTGCGGACCAATCTAGCCGTTGCGTTTTTTTTTTGGGGGGGGGGGGGGATCAGGGCTAAATTAAGGAGAAGATAAGACGAGAATTAGCTATTAAATGGGCAAGAGTATGCTGCTCCCAGTCGAAAACTTGTCAAACCATAAGTGGCTAAGTACATTCTGACATTATATTTATCTTTTAGAACACATAAAAAGTCCACTCGAACTGAAAAGATATCGAAGAACCCTTATCATACAGCGAGCGTAACGAAAACGGGAGGTTTTCAGGAAATGGAATGATTATGGTTATTACTACTTGTTTGGAGAACTGATGTTGCAAAACAGCATGGAAATTCTATACCAGTAAAACAACCATCACAGATTATCGAGCAATTAGTAGAAACACAACAATCACGTATAACAGATAATTAAGCTCCATCGGGATCCTAGACAGATTGTAGCTTAGAGCTTCCATAAGACTCAAGTGGAGTCACGTCGAATTTCTTTTGTAATTCTTCTACTGTCTCCTCCCAATGGTTCTCCCAATCTATGGCCATGGAAAACCGTGCTTTCGTTGCTTGTTCGATGATCCACGGCAGATGCTTCTTAAGAAATCTGCGAAGATGCCTCCAAAAGTTTTACACTGGAACAGGAAAAAAGTTGAAAACCAACCTAATGCGAATTTCAAAAGCAAATATGAAATTTGGGGATGGTTACGTTCTTTTCGCACATACCAATGATAAAAAGGAATTAGTGCGCAGCACGCAAGCGAATAGAGGATTCAGCCGAGATATTCAAAGTCAAGTTATTAATTCACCTTTCTAATACTCGACTATAACTATACCGCACTCCAAGCGTCTGTAACCAAAAATTCTCAATAACACATTCAACATAATAATATGTTATTGGTTTGGCAATACTTTCTAATGCAAAATGCTCTTTCGACAAAATAAGGAGACGCCCACTTACTTTGTACGCAATCTCCCAGCTCCAAATATGCCAGCTGTCACACACATCGGTAGTCCAAATTGGATTCCTTCGAAATACTTCACGGTGACCTAAGTGTTGAGAACTCAGCGAAGAGCATAATGTTATAGTTAAAAGTAGCGTCTCGACGAAAGTTCGCTGTCCACTTTTTCCACTCGGAGCCTTCTCGCCATGAGAAACCCATATCTGGAGTTTTCAGCGCATAAAAATAGTGGAGAGCCTTTTTCGAAGCTTTCCAAGTTCGCATTCAGTAAAGATATGTACGCCGGGTATCTTCCGCGCCCGCCTCCTTCGTTCTGGACTCCGCCACTTACCGTCTTTTCTTGGATACAAACATGGAAATCTTCGTAAAAAGCTCATTTTCGCCATTCATGCGCTGAAAAGCCCAGGTACACTTCCTCATGGCGAGGAGGCTAAAAAGACGAAACGCTGGAAACTTCGGCGAGACACTACATTCGAGAGTTCGGAAAAGCTTCAATATTAACTGCATTAGAATACACCTCGCCACATATGAGTAGGCATTTGCAGGAGAACATGGTTGAAATTGTGCGTTTCATGGTAACGCTGCATCACGTAGAGATGATCTTTGTTTTGGACAATTCTCACGGGAGGTCTTGCATCGGGAAAGGTGTGTAAGCCATCAAGGAACCTACAAATTTAACGCGAACTGTAGAACGGATAAAATGGAGGAAAAACAACCCCTACTTGGCATAAGCTTTTCCAAAGGTATTGTCAGGTAAAGAACTGAGATATTCACGATTCACAGTAAGATTCGTAACTCGTGGACGTTTTTCCAAGAGAAGAGCCCCCAAAACATCACTGGCCATGCGCTGGCTGCAAAGAAACGTATCAGCAAGTGAGATTATTCCAAAAAAGCAACAAACCGACTTCTTTCAAGCACAGACTCAGACGCAGTGGCCTCGCCCATTGCTGCAACAATGTCTCCCTTGCGTGGATCCGTGATCGCCATAGCTGCAGAGCCTATTCCAAACAAAAATCGGGAGGCTGACGAAAGAGGAACGTGGCCCGCGTACAGGGCTCCTAAATTGCAGAGTCGTTTGCACCAGCGAGCGCGCGACCGCGTCGCACCCAGGCTTTTGCCGGCGCCGGCGCCATCGATCGAGGCGACGCCATTGATGCCCGGGCGCGACGCGGTCGCGCGACCGCTGGTGCAAACGACTCTGCAATTTCGGAGCCCTGTATAAACTGCTACTCATTTTCCCCCCAAAATAAAAGGTATGAGACAAATTCACAAAAGTGATGGAAACTAAGCAAATATCAGGAAAAAAATCGTGGCAGGAATTAGACTAAGAAAGATCATACCTTGCTGCCCTTTAGAGATGCGCATTCAGTTCAACCGCAATTCCTCTTCTGACAGTGATTCCACGCTTTTGTAGAATTTCCTCGATATTTTTACTCTGGAAAAAACCAATAGTACGAAAGGAATATCACATATATCAAATACTAGTTGGCATACCCGGCTCCGCCCGGGCCTGTCGATAATATATTTCTAATCAGCATGCTCGATTACCCCCCTGTGCCAACTTTCAGCCCTGTGACTCAAATTTTGCAAAAAATCGATAAAATCGATATCGATCGATAACGAAAAGTAGCCTATGACACGCTCCCCTCTCCGAAGTATATGTGTGCCAAGTTTGGTACAAATCGGGTCAGAAATATAAATTTCTATTCCGCACATATGTACAGACATACATACATACATACATACATTCAGACACACATTCAGCTATACAGAATGTCCCAAAAGTAAGTACACACTTTTCAATCGTTAATATCTCTCTTTCCATTGCATCTTTTTCCGCCTTTCAAGCACCATTCTGTAGAGGAGGATTCAACTTCTCTCCATTACTGTAGGATTATTGTAGGAACTTCCACAAGGGTTTTAGGCCATTGGAAGCCATATTCTGCTTTGGAACAAAACCAAACAAGCCAAAAACCCTTGTGCTATGGTTGTGAAAGCCGCTGTTTTCGAATATGAAATTTCCACTTTACTGTGATGCTTCTTTCCAAAGTTATCCCAGGTAAGCCGTAATAACCGAATTCCCAGTATTTGTCAGAAATGTGATTACACCGTCAAAAAAGCTGAAAACACTCGTAAAAAGTTATGTGGTGGAATCAGCGTGCGCGAAAACCCTAGTACGCAGTTTTTCAGATTTTTTGAAAAAAATTTTGTCACAAGGCGTACTTCTCAATGATTCCACATGCTGGAAGTGCTTACCGTAATCTCACAGTAACGAAGGGTGATTCGATCGATATTGTAAATCTAAGTTGAAGCCTCCTCTACAGAATGGTACTTGACTGGCAAAAAAGACCAATTGGAAAGAGAGATACTGGCGACTGAAAAGTGTGTACTTACTTTTGGGACACCCTGTATAAGATATCCTTCGATGTTTTACCTTGAAATCCTGAAACCATCCTAGATCGGCAATAATATGGTGGTTCTTACAATGGTTACAGGTTACAATGACCCCTCCCTTTTCGTATTAAGTGCGGAAAAATGTTTTTGGCCCCTAAAAGTAGATATTTGCCTCAGACAAATAAGTCATGACTAGTCATATTACAGTCATACCGTCTGTATGAACATAAATTGAGAATAACCACAAGTCTACACTGCATACTCCGGCGCACCAGCGAATGCTACAGTAACCCTACACTATGCCTACAGTATGTGAGAGCAAACAAACGTGGCTTCAAACGTAGGGAAATATAAAAAAAGGCAAGGCAATAAAGAAGCTTGAAAACCAAAAAATAATGTAATATTAGGTTGACGCATAATAAATGGCCGATTTTCCAAGCCTTTTTTCAGGACAACTTTTTCCCATCAATACTTCTTCTTTACAGCGGATGTAGTATATTGCCGCAGACTGTATTCATGCTCTATCTAAGTGCTTGAAACGGGCTCTCATCCTCATCCCTTATAAAGTTACTGAGCTTCAAATAACTGCATCCAAATTCAGAATTTCATTGCATTCACTTTTCCGGCCAGAATTCAAGCGCGTATCAATGGAATTTCTTCGAAAATTTAGCTTTTGCATGTAATAGAAATTCTCTACATTATGCATACTTAACTGCATTCTTTGATGTTATCCAGACTGAGATATCGGCGCCTAAACAGTCATTCTATGACCCATAATTTTCTTCCGACGTGGAACCGAGAAAGGCGATATATCCGCCACGGATCTCCCTCATAGAGGGATCACAGCCGGTTAGTCGCGAGGCTACGTGGGGCGTCCCCAGGTGGCGGATAGGGGGATAATCGCCGACCAAAAGCGACCCCGCGCCTGCTCTGATAAGCAAGCGGAGCCGGGGGACGGACTCCCTGCCTCCACTAAAAGCTTGCTTCCTAATTTCCCGGGTAGGTGTGTGGGGAGGCGAGTTCGGAGTCGCCTCCAACAAATAAGCTCCGATCGTCCCTCGCGGGGGTTTTGAGCCCAACAAGCTATCCCTGCGAGTAAATTCTTGTTCGACACAGTGATAATATGGAAAGCTCCTTTAATCTTGGAAGAGCCACTGATAAGGCAGCGCCAGTGGGGACAAGGTTTGAAAGGCGATCTAAGCTGCCGAAAAAGAGACGGACTATGATGACGATCTGTACTTACAACGCGAGGACGCTGGCATCGGACGCATCTATCGAAGATCACAAATGCAAGCAAGGAAGATTAAGTACGACGTCATCGGACTGACCGAGACAAGGAGGCACCACCCGCTGAACGCCACATTTGAGACTGGAGAAGAACTGTTTCTAGGAACATGCGACAGTCGAGGAGTAGGTGGAGTGGGAGTCCTTGTCAACACGAGTTTGGCCATGAACATCGATTCGTTCGAACAACTTACAACTGGAATCGGACGTTTGCGAATATCAAGATGTGGATCAATCCCTGCCTTGACCGTCTTCATTGCGTACGCCCCAACATCCAGCTACGACGAGGACGAACTCGAGGAATTTTATATGGACTTGGAGAAGTTCTACAGAGAAGATCATGCCTTCTACAAGATCATCGTCGGTGATTTCAACGCGAAGATCGGAACTAGAAGGTCGACTGAGGAACTTCACATCGGAACCCATGGTTTGCAGTGGAACGAACAAGGGGAGAGACTGTCCGAGTTTATCACGACGACGAGGACTATCCATGGAAAGTCACAGTTCCAAAAGCCCTCTTCCCTACGCTGGACCTGGGAATCGCCCGGTGGAGAGTACCATAACGAGATTGACCACATCATCGTCAACAGAAGGTACTGCCTGACGGACGTCGCTGTTGTTCCGAAGTTCTACACGGATCAGACCATCGTCTCCTGCGCGCCAAATTCTACTTTCCGCGGAATGGAGAGAGAGCCGTCAAGTTCAGGAAACATCGTCCCATGAATACCACCAACTGGGATCTGTTTTCTTCGATATCCGGCTCATGGCGAGATACCGTGATGGACAACATCGAAGAATACGAACGGTTCGTACAACATCTCCACGGTTGTGCCAAGGAAGCTCAGAGTCTAAGAAGTACGAGAAGGCGTCTCACCACAGGGACTTTGGAGCTGATACGCCAACGTGGACGCGCACGAGCCACAGGCAACTACCGACTGACGTCCGAGCTTGCGAAGCGATGCAGAGAAGCGATAAAAGAAGACCTTAAGGAGAGAAGAGTAGCAGTGATGGTTGACGTCGCGGAGGCTGGAAGAAGTATACGCAACGCCCGCCGAAGCTTCGTCAACTTCAAGACAAAGATGACCGCACTTCGTCGTCCTGACGGAACCATAACTGCTTCCCGAAGATCAATGGAGAAGGTCATCCACGACTTCTACTCGGATCTTTTTGCGAGCCACGTCCACCTTCCACCATGCCATCTCAAGGAGGACGAGTATGTCGCACCGTCTGTTCTTCCTTCCGAGATTCGTCATGCTATCATGTCGATGAAAAACCGTACAGCACCCTGTCCCGACAGGATTAAGCCAGAACATCTGAAGAATCTTTCGCCAGTTCTCATCAAGACTTTGGCAAGGCTCTTCACGCGGTACCTGACGGAAGGCAAGGTTCCAAGGCAATGGAAGACCAGCAAAACCGTGTTGCTGTACAAGAAGGGAGATCCCTGCGACATCGGCAATTATCGCAATATCTGCTTGTTGTCTGTAGTCTACAAACTCTTTACGCGAGTCATTCTCAACAGGATCGGAAGAGAGTTGGACGAAGGACAACCATGCGAGCAAGCTGGGTTTCGAAGAGGATTCAGCACGATCGACCACATACACACGGTGTCAAGGCTCATTGAAGTGTCACGAGAGTATAAGATGCCGCTCTGTCTCACCTTCATCGACTTGAAGAAGGCCTTTGACTCGGTTGAGACTGAAGCCGTCATTGATGCCTTGAGCAATCAAGGTATTCCGACTCATTACATCAAGATAATTCGTGAGCTGTATAACGACTTCACAACCACCATAACACCATTCTACAAGGACATCATCATTGACGTGAAGAGAGGCGTGCGACAAGGCGATACTATATCGCCGAAACTATTCAGTGCCGCTCTGGAGAACGTCATGCGTAAGTTGGAATGGGACAACATGGGAGTGAAAGTCGACGGCCGGCAGCTACACCACCTTCGCTTTGCTGATGACATCGTATTGATAACACCAAGCATCACGCAGGCGGAACAAATGCTGGCCCAGTTTGGCGAAGTGTGTGGAAAGATCGGTCTACGGCTGAATCTAACGAAGACGATGTTCATGAGGAACGGAAGAGTGCCTGATGCTCCTTTCATGCTCAACGGGACGAACATCACCGAATGCTCAAGCTACACCTACCTAGGTCGTGAACTCAATATGATGAACGATCTAGCTCCGGAACTGAGCAGGAGGAAACGTGCAGCATGGGGAGCATATAAGACAATTGAGGACGTAGTGAAGAAGACCAAGAACATCCGGCTCCGCGCCCACCTTTTCAACTCGACGGTTCTTCCT